GCTGATTTAAATTTCTGCAATTATATCTTCTCACTCTTGGTGCTGCCGATATTTTATTAGGTTCAGTATGTTCTGTTGTTGGGCTGACCCTGTACTTTCTAGTATGTTTGGCAGAATAACTGGTGCCCTATTTGGCAGGAGCTAACCCCCTGTTCAACAGTTATGACAGAAATGTGTGTGGACATTGCCAAATGTCCCCAGGGATGGAGGGAAATCACTCCTGGTTAACAATATCTATAAGCTCTGTAAAATGCCCAAACACCTAGAAGAACCTACCCTATTTCAGAGACCACCTCTACTTCATAAAGGTTCCCTCTTAAAGGATATGAATTACCAGATGCATCTTCAGATACCATCAGGTTGCTCCCCACAAGAAGACTGCAGGCAATGCCCACACATTTGTAAGCTCTCTATCAACTGGGCTACACTTCCTAGATGAGAGTGGAAATCTGGAGAGGCATGGCTTTCTGTCTGCAGAGCTACAGATCATGGTGTACATTAATGAGCTCTGGTAGCCCATAGTGCAATTCATCAAATTCTGTTTCCTGATTTTTTTGTCTGTTTTTTGTTTTTGTTTGTCTGTTTTTCTGAAAGAGAGCAGGACTGGCTTTCCTTATGACTGGGTAGTGCCTTTAAGTTCTGGCTAATGAATGGAGCAGAGCCCTGTGCTATTTCCAAGCCAGTGGAGTTGTTTGGTGACACAGGGAATGAGTTTTGTAGTTCTTCAGGTGATGCTTAGGATGATGATGATTATCTGTTTATCAGCTAGGGTCCTCACCGACTCTCATCAGCAGTGCCCTCCCACTCATCTGCAGAAACACATGGTGTGGACAAGAAATACAGTTTGCATTTTAAGCCACTGCAATTTTAAGGTTTTCTCCACCTTAGTGTAGCTTATATTAATCTAATTTAAGAGCTGAGAGTTGAGAAGAACTTAAAAAAATTACATAAAATCAAGGTCACTTCTGCTGAAAGAGAAAACAATACGAAACAACTTAGAACTTGTTTGACTTAGTGTTGTTGTATACTGAAAATACTACTTTTTTCATCCCTTAATTCTTTAAGATTTTGTTTCAAAGTATATTTCTCTAAACCTGTTAAGATATGCAAATTGTATGATTCTAGTAAGACAAACCCATTCTGTCATTTGAGTAATAAAGAACATTGATGCTAAATATTATGTGGGATATTTTTCTACTTCATATTTTGTTTTGCTAACTTTCTTGTGATGAGGACACTTTAATATATAAGGGGTGAAATATATTTAGGATATAAATTTCAAGGTTTTTAAACAATGGCTTTCCATTTGCAAAAGGATTACCCAAGGACATGGAACTGATTCACAGGAGTGATCAGGACTTCCTATAACCATACCTCCTGCTTTCTTCTCTGTAGTGGAGATCAATCTATGGATTTCCAGGCACAGCGTTGGCCTTGGAGACTGCACAAAGTTTGGATCATGGTTTTGTGAAACTTAACTGCTCTGTGATCTTATTTTTCTCATAAATGGTATTCCAACACTGCCTGAGTTGCAGGGCTGATTGTGAAAACTAAGTAAAGCAATGAATGAAAGACATAGAACAGTGCCAGGCATCTGCTGGATGATCACTCTAACATTGAAAGCAGTGTTCCAGGAAGTGATCAATAAAGCAACAAATCATGTTCTCCCCATGTGATAACCATGCCTCCTACTTGATCAGTCATCCTGTATGATTTGCAGTGCCTGGCACAAAGGTGTGTTCACAACTATAGCAATGCTGAGGGATGGAGAAGATGACCTGCTCTGCTCTTGGCCTGGCCACTCCCTTGCCTACTCTGCCCAGCACACCCAGCAGGGAGGATTGCATAAGTCCCCAAGTGTCCCTGTACTTTTCTCCTCTTTTGCAAAAACAAACAAAAATATAAAAACGATACAAAAGAGTTATGAATCACAGGGCTATAAAACTTAATGAACCTTCTTAATATTGTGACACTTTCCAGGAAAATGATTTTTGTAAAATTACTTTTGCTTGCAAATACAACAGTAGTGAACCCACACAAAGTTGTACCATAGTCTTCAAATTTTTAAGAGCAAGTTAGTGTTGATGACAGTATCTTGTTGGGCACCGGTGCCTTCACTTAGCAGTGGTGTTGTTTTCTCCTATGTGCTTTGTGGAGAAATAAAGGGAATGTGTGCTGGGAGACATGGTCTCCCTACACAGCCCAGGCTGACCTAGAGTTTGAGATCTTCTTCTGTCAGCAACAGGAACACTGGGATTATAAGTGTGCAGGAGCCCAGTCGGTTGCTACAAGATCAAGTTGGAGGAAAACCACCCAATGTTAGTATATCATATACTCCATCGTTCTTACATGAATGTGAAAAGATGACTTACAGGCAGGCAGTCATTAAAAGTAACTGACAGTCAGAGTCACTATTTCTTTACCTGTCCAGCAGGTAGTTATTAGTAGTGTAATACATATTATGATTGCTTAGAAGGTAGGACTGTTAGATGGTGAGTTAGGGAAATGTTGAGTCAGGAAACAAGTATACAAAACTCTGAACAGCATACAGTTACAGCTTTATTTAGTTGTGTGAACTTACTTGGTTTCTTTATTCCTCAGGTTTTCCAAAAAAGAAAAAAAGTGGAGATGTTCCCGAACAGGAGTATGTGAAGAGTTAGCTAATATCTGTAAGTGGCTTAGAATAATGCCTGGGATATAGAAAGCGAGTGCCCCATGAGTACTAGTTAAATACACCAGAGGAATGACAACAATGACCGGTTATACAGAATGGCTTGTGAGAAAGCTTTTGGAATAAAGGTACAAGCCGGAGAGCAACCAGACACATTCATTCCTTCAGTATCTGCAATTCCATGAGAAGCAAGCCGAAGCATGTTGGCCATGAAGGGTTGATTCCCATTTGAAATGACACATGGACCAGAGGCTGAGACATAACGGAGGCCCAGCTGGAGTGGAAGTAAAGGAACATGTACACAGAAAGTATGGCATTGTTTCTTGTGGGTTCCACAGTACAGTCTCAGTACTGTACTCTCTCCCAGTTGCAGTTTTCCACAATGCTGCACAGTGCAAAGGCAATGTGTGGGATGTGAAGAGTACCGATTCTCAAGTACCCAAGGATATGCTACTTGAGTAAAAATCTAACCTGCTTCACAGAGGCAACTAAAATTATGCTGTGGTGAGGCTGGCTCAGAAACCTCTTAGGCATTTCCTCTAGCCTCTTGTGCCAGTTCATCGACAAGCATTCAATGGTGGCACACACAAACTGAACTCACCAGCTATGAAAGCTGGCATTTTTTTCTTCTTTCTGTATAATCATCCGTCTACCAATTCCTCTCTGCTTTCCTCATACATAGTCCCCTCACTAGAGTCTCTGCCACTGCTGCAGAGTCATCCTGGGGTCACCATCAGTGACTCTTACACTGATTCTGCCTCACTATACCTCATTTACTTTAGTGATCAACATTCTCCTTATCTTGGCACTACCCTGTCTGGGGTAAGGCAGTATTAACTTACCAAGTTGACATGCAGAATCCCCTTATTCCACTCACATTAGCAATCCCATAGCATTAAGCACTGGAATTTGCTTCCTTTAAACACAGTTTCTAAAATGTTTGCTTTGGTGTGCTTTCCCTTGTTTGGAATAATTTAATCAATCTTTTATTTCTGGCTATTCCAGTAGCTTTGGCTATTAATAGACTAGTTTACTGTTAACCCTCTAAGCTCCACGTCTCATTACTCATGTGTCAGTTTGGTACCCTCTTTGTTTTTGTGTTTACACATGATTGCTCTCTCCTTAACACAAATGTAAGTTCCCTTATGAGAGGGAGCATCAATTACTTTTGCTTACTTATTTAATAAGTATTACTGACCTCTACAACTCCACTGGTCAGTGTTTCAGGTGATAGTAATGAGGAAGACAGGTCCTGTCTCTAGTAGTCCTCATGTAGCTTACATTTTAAATCTAGTAATTATGTGCATGCAGTGAATGGTGAAAAACAATATGATATATCCTGAAGAAAGACAGTGTGCTAGGAGAACATGAGGAACTTTCAAGAAAATGCTCCAGAGCTGAGATTGATAAAATAGAAGCCAACAGACAGAAGCTTGGTACCCAAGAGGACCAGAGCAAGGTTTGGTACATGCACTGCAGAAGGCAGAAGGCATGCCTCCAGATGAGGCCGATAAGGACAGGCTAGTTGCAATTCCTGGCACTGAACCACAATCAGGAAGCACTGTCCAAAGGAGTGTGCACTTAGGCAGCCTTTCAGGAGTGTAACACACCACAGCAAGACACTGCTCAATGAGACTATGCCTGGACCTTTGTTGTTGTTTGGTTTAAAAACAAAGCTCAATACCCAGGCTGTAAACAAACAAACAAACGAACACAAATGCTTAAGAGAGGTGTCAAATTCCTCATTTTACTGACCCCAACATACCAGATGAGGATACAAGATGAAGGAAATGACCCTGAAAAGGTGCTGTGCGGCATAAAGGATGAGAGGATCTGCTACTGGAAGCTTCCACCTTAACTTTTCTTCAGTTCAATACAGAGGCACAGACCAATGACAGCAATGATATGGGCGAAGGCCCACCCCACCTCATAAGTTAGATGCCCAATGCTTTATACAGGCCACCTAACAGATGGTGGCAAAGCTGTGACCCCAGAGGTGGAGAGGTTGTACATTCAATTATAAGTTTCCACTTTCTGTAAGTATTAAGATGCCCAAAGCAATATATTCTGTTTACATAAAATACATTGTATAAACTATATTTGATAAGAGACATGACTGCTTCTTCTCAACTTAAATCAAAGAATGCTTACTTAAGTGTTTTTTTAATTGAATCAGACTTTAATGCTGTCGTATAATCTTGGTTAACAGTGCTCATCTTGATTATTCTAACAAAGAAGAAATTAATACTTCAGTTGTAGAGCTCATGTCTCCCTATAAAAAACAAAACAAAACAAAACGAACAAACATTAGAAAATTTAAAACAGGTACCTGGGACATCTGTAAAAGTTTCTCCAAGGACAGAGACGTGGAAATTCAGTCCTAAATCCTTTAGATGCATTAATACCTTAAAAAAACTCTCTGGATCTTTGTCATGTTCCCTGTAAATAAACAGAAAATATACCCACTGTTACCTCAGGGTACATGGTAAGAAAAAAGTATTCTGTTCACATGGTGTCAGTTCCTGTCAAGATCTTGTGCTGGTGAGGAAGCCCCTCCCTGAACTGTAAGTCACCTCACATCTAGACCTGCTGTCAGAATCAAACTCAGGCCCACCTATGGGTTATAAAATAAAAGGACCTTTTCTTGGAGGGGAAATCTGTCTTAAAAAGATTAAGTAAACTATACAGTATTTCTTCCTTCCAAATAGTTAATTTTTCACTAAGCACAAATTTATTTTCTTAAAGAAAAAAAACTTGAAAGGATTATTTTTTGTTCGTCATCATGAGGATGAAGCAGGGAAGCTTGCCTTCCACAGGAATGAAGCCTTTCTCCCACGGATCCAGCCTCCTTGTTCTGACCGAGAGCACACAATTTAAGAAAGGGACTCTGGCGCCTTTCACTAATCTCTTGTTTGCAATCACTCGGTGGAAAATTATAATGCAATAGAAGGGATGGATAAGTCTGAATCTATCTATACTAAATACCAACTTAGAGAGTGGAGGGTAGTCAACTTGTAAAAGAATCTGAAAAGAAAATACTTTCATTTAGCACAGGCATCAAGAAACATCAAATGTTTTCAGCTTGTTCAGTTTGTCAGGCTTTGCTAATGACAGAATGAGAGGTTAAAAGACACTAAAATTAAAGAAAAATATTCTTCAACAAATCATACTTAAATGGAATATTTTTTAACATTCTAAGGTGTGAATATTTCAGTATTTCTTGCATTTAATTACACTGTTTTTAAATTATCTTATTTCAGACAGATGTAGACCAGATGTCCTCAAAATATTTGTTTTTTATTTATAATTCAGAAATTTGATTTTTTTCATTACAGAAAATAGTTATATACCAGCAACTGAATTTCTCATTTACTAATTATATAAAATAAATCTGTAAAATTATTAAACTGCTATATGAAATATGAAAATTACATCATTCAGGAAACCTCATGAAAAATGACATCTGTACCCCTTAATGTGTTAATTCACAATTCAGTCAATATTTTCAGTATCATGAATTGAAACAAATGCATCTTCTAATTATCATTTTAAAACAGCATTTATAATCTTACGAAACTGTAAGATCTTATAAAATTAGAGTTCTCAAACAATTTGTTTTAAGTGCTATGTCTCTCAGTTTGATTTACTTCAAATAATAAAAGATGCAATGGCAAAATGTTCATTGCTTTTTAAGATGATGTGTATTATATACATGCACCATTGGGAAGTGTTTGGATAGTTTTCATATATACTACTGCTGTGGGCAGGAACAAAGACTCCAAACAGTGTGAGAGGAAAGCATATACCATATGCAGTCTTCAACCATATCAATCAAATAACTGCCACCTTATCTTGTAAAATGCTCTTTCAGTCTGATTCTCTTGGAGATACTTCGATGAAAAGGATGGAAACAATATAACATAATACAGCTTAAGAGAGTAACACTGTAGGGAAATCTAGCCACTCAGTTCTCTAAGTTTTTCATTTGGCATTCCAAAAATCTGGCTACAGATCCCTGGTATATCATGTATTCTAACTATTGTCTTGTGTGTGTGTGGGGGGGAGTGAGGGGGTGGCACATGCATGGAAACATAAAAGGAGATTCAGTGTGTAGGTGGGATGAGACTTAACTGGGTAAAGAGTGTAGTTCCTACAACTTCCAGTGTGTTTAAAGCAGTAGGATTTACGAACATCCATTTTCATTGCTTCTATACAGAAACAGTTGCATTGCAACCTAGCTCATACTTTAAATATTCCTTCTAGGTAGACAAAAGCTTTAATATTCAATAGTCATTTTGTGTAAGAACACAAACAAGATTGGTGTGAACCCTCTTTCATTTTGTTTAAATCATAGTATGTAGCTGAACATAAGGTGGAAGTTTATTTGTTAAAAGTTATCCCTCACAAATAGGGACATTTTATACTCAAGTTCTTAAAAAATGTATCATGACATAGGGGAACTCTTTATTCATTTTTGGGAACAGCCTATTAGCCTTTAACTGATGAGAATTTTGGATGATTTTAGCACTTCCTCACTTGGTGGTACTAGTGAAAGCAGACTCATAGGAAATTAAACACTGAGATTGTGTCATTTTGGGAAGTAAGACCTAACAATTCTAAGTGCTGAGTGGTTTTGAAAACAAATACCAAAAAACCACCACCATCTCCAGCAGGCACCACCACCATCTCTCTCTCAAACACACACACTGATGAAGTGGTCATGAGATCATGAGCAGCAAGCACACTTCTATAGCTGGAGAAGAGATTTCTGGTGATGCCATGGGGCAGTTTCAGTTTCCGTTCTGCAATCCAGAATGCCAGACAGTAGGTCGTAGAAGCAGGCCAGTTGTCTGAATAAGGGCACCACTATGGTGTCAAAAGTGCAGGAAAGGTGAGCTTGAATAAAATTGCTTCCTGAAATATGAGCGTAGGAAAAGAGCAACAATTCTCAAGGCATTCTTCAGCACATGTACTTGACAGTATTGTATGTATACACTAGTAGATTTTAATACAACTATAGTCCCACTTATTGGATTTATGTTGCTCAAAGCTCAATATAAGCAGTATGCTGGATAGTTTTATGTCAACTTGACATAGGCTAAAGGTGGGAGCCTACATCAGATCAGGTTGTAGGCCAGCCTGTTAAGGTATTTTCTTAACTGGTGATTGATAGCGGAGGGCCCAACCCATTGCAGGTGGTGCCAGATCCTGGGTTCTATAAGAAAGCAGGGTGAGTAAGCCATAGGAAGCAAGCCAGTAAGCAGTACCCCTCTGTGGCCTCTGCATCAGCTCTTGCTTCCAATTTTTGCCCTGTTTGAATTTCTATCCTGACTTCCTTTGATGATAAACAGCGATATCAAAGTGTAGGACAAACAAATCCTTTCCTCCCCAGCTTGCTTTTTGGTCATGGTGTTTGTTTGGTCATGGTCATTACCCTAATTAAGAAATCAGTTTATTTGAAAGGTTTTTTTTTGGATTTTCTTTGTGGTGAAATGGGAAATTGTCTAACATTCAACCTTTAAAAAGTTCCACATATAACAACCATACCTAACAACAAGGCATGAGTGATGAATGAACAGCAGAGCCAACTACTGTGTCCTGCAAGGGATGAGCTCTGGGCATCCAATGGGTCATACAGTTCCTCTGATACTAATGAACCCATTGAGCAGAACATGCTATATCTTAAATTACTTTCAAATTAGTCTAAATGTGAAACTCTCCTCCATGTGGTTGTAGTAGAAAGTATTACATATATAGTGAAGGGTCTGATGAGGACACATCTGCTATCAAGATGAAAAATGCTTTTTGCAAGAAACTTGTCTCTAGATCCGTATTTCTGTTCTCACGTTTCTGGTGGGAAATGGTTGATATAATCTTTAGAGGGAAATTTGCTAATGGTCATGATAAGCCCTAATGTGTGCATCACTTTTTCTCTAATAATTATAATTATGAAAGTCAGCCTAAAAAGATGCACACAGAAATTCTGCTATAATGTATTCATAACAACATTACTTATAATGGCAACTTTGTAAAAATTTAAAGTGGTGACAATTAAATATATTTTGATACATATGATACAATTCTTCGCAGTCATTAAAAATAATGTTGCATATGTGTGCTTCTGGGCATGGAAAATTATTCAGTACTAAGTATTCAATAGCCAGTACTTTTGAGTAAAAGGAGTTGGCAGAAAAGCATGACTTTTATGATCTGCCTGTGCAGGACAAATAGATGCCTATAACTGTTACAAGGTTCATCTCTAAATTGTTAGGTTTGTTCTGGCTTGTTTTCAATAACCTTTGTTTGTGTAAATTATTTTGAATATTTTAAAGAACCCATTCCTAATATTCTACCACAATTCTGAGTTCATAAGCTTTCTTCTTAACTTGAACAGTTCAGTACCCAGCTGTTTCATTTTTTTCCCCACGACCCTCTATGTTTGACAAATGCCAGCCAAGCAAACTTGTTTAAATAAACAAGACATTTCAGTCAATGTGTTAGGGTTCAGGCTTCCTGATTATACCCATCCTACTGGGTAGGTAAGGATAGAACAGCCTGGCAGGGATTTCATTTCTCCACACCCCCACTACAGCAGAAGAGACCAGCAGGGAAATATTTCAGGCTTCCTGGAAGCAGAAGATACAGCAAGAACAGCTTTTATTCCCAAATATTATTCAGAACATTTGAAAAGCATAAACTGTTTCCATGTGTTTTTTCTTCCTATATCTGTCTCTCTCTGTTGCCTTTCCTGTTTCGTTTCAGAGAGCTAAATTTCTTCTTATTCCTCACTTAGCACTCATTCAGTAAATATTTATTGAGGATTTCTAAGTTCTCCATACTTGTCACTTATACTGTTACCATTTCCGATTTTCCCACATAACTGTGTATATATTGAGCAGTCTCTTTGATCTACCTCCTGTCTGGCTTGAGAGAAACTGGCTCTTTCCAGAAGCATACTACTCTGCATCCAGAGCTCTGTGTAAAGGGCAGATGATGCCTACTTTGTTTACTGGGTACCAATTGTTGAGCTGAGCAATGAGGGACTATTTGTGTTAACATTAATATCCAGTCTCTATTTCTGAGAACATAGATTCCTTATTTATTCCCTTGCTGTGGGTGAGGACCAGTGCCAGCCAATGGACTGCAAGCTGACTGACATATGTCACCTTCAGATAAACACATCTGAGAGCAGTTCTAGATAGCGTAGTAAACTCTGCAGTGATGCCGTGTTAAGGTAAGCAGGTTCAGGTTGTCACATGGAGACTTGTCCCACATGCAGCAGTGTACAAAGGTGAAAGAAGGTTCTTTTGTCTAAAGCAACTGAATCCTATGGGGGTGCAGAAGTGTTCACTACTGCAGCATAACCTAGTTCACCTCAATTAGAGTACCATCTGTGGCACAGTCAGCTGCTCTATAAATGCTGCACATCCCTACTAAGC